CCCAAATTGTGGCAGGAAGCCAATTAGCTTTCCTGCATTGGTAGAGGCATTGAGAGAGGCAGCTCTTGGCACAGGCCTAGAGAATCCTTGATGCATTTTTTTTTGCTAATAAACCTGAATCTAAACCAGCTTCAATTTTTTTCAAGATATCTCTATAGCAGAAGATTATATCATAAATCCCATTGATCCCAATAACACTTAAACCCACAAAAATGGGGTAAGGTTATATCTGAAATTGTCACCCCCCCCCCCCTCGAGTTTAATTAAAAAAAAATTCTGCCAAAGGAATGTATTTATTTATTTGATTTCTTTAGTTGCCCATATCACCAGTGTACATCATAAAATTGATCCATTAAATATGAAAACTTAAATATGTTTACTAAAAAGTAAATAGCTAATGCTAAAGAAACCAAAGAAACAAGGCCAAAGCACTGTCAAAACAAAGGAAAACTGTAAAGTATAAAAATTATTAAGTGTTCTCTTTTTAACACATGGGTGCCTGAGACGTTGAATGCTGTTCTATAACTGCAAAAGAAAAAATCAGCTTTTTTCATGGTAATAATTATGTTTTGGCATTTGTGCCTTTCAGCACATTTCTATTTGTGTATACTCTCTAATCGTCCTGCTTCTGTTCATCCTTAACCCCCTGAGTGACTCTAACACTGAATGCATTTAGTCCTCATCAGTGGTGGGTTGCAACCGGTTTAACAACCGGTTCTGCACACTTCACCTGATGCGCATGTGCGCAGCGTTCAAAATACAGTAATTTGAAGCTCAGCTGCTTACCTTCTAAGGCAGCCCTGGTAAGTAGAACAGCGGAGGCACAGAAATCAGCTGTGCTGCATGAATCAGCTGAGCCAGAAAGAAGGAAATATAGGACAGGATAGGGTGGGGGCGGGGCCAGCTGATCATCAGAACTACTGGTTCACTCGAACTGGTCTGAACCGGCAACAGCCCATCACTGGTCCTCATCTTATTTTGAACAATTGTGATGACAATAAGTTAATGTACTTGGTACTTCAGTCTGAGCTTCAGCCATAATTCAGCTCAGCATCTGATGTTGTCTTAGACTAGATTGTAATTTTGAGAAAATATGTACAAAAATTGTTACCATCATATCAAAGTAACCATATAATATTAAAGATATCTACTTTCTTTCCTACAAGGATGAAGTCATACTATTATAGAATTAGAAATGCCCATTTAGTCCACTAAATCCAAGCCTGTACTCTGTTTAGGAATCTAAATTAAAGTTTCTGCAAGAGAAGACTGGTAGTCATTATCTGACCAATACAGTGAAGGTGAGTATACAATCTCTCTAGGCTACTGGTACTGCTATCAAGGTCCCCTTGCTAGTGGGACTTCATTTTCCTTATATTCAATTAGAATCTACTTTCATAAAATTTCAGAATTCTTACTCTGTGGGCTAAAACATTCCCTGGGATGTTGCAAAGAAACCTGAGAGGGATCTTAAAGACTCCCTTAGGACCAATGTCTTCTCCAGGATGGCAGACAGAACATCTAACTACTTCCACAGGCCAGATGACTAATTTTCTCTCAAAGAACCATATTCCACATCAGGATTAAAATTAAAAGGATAATCATTTCTCTACAGTACCGGTTTATTTTTTTTATCTAAACAATTAATACTAAGCCTTGGAATATTCTTGTATAAGAAGGTAAGATAAGCATTTTATCATCTAAACTGATTTATTATATAGAGACATTTTTACAGTTACATATAATAAGATACTTAATATAGTTTCATAACCCAAATATTAGTACATCTTTTGAATATTTCAAGTTTTAAATCATCAGTCATTTCTGAAATCTACATTGAGTTCAAAGTGCAATTAATGACTTTCAACTGAAAATGTTATCCGAAAGATATTAAGATGCATATTAATTATAGTCTGATTCAATAAGCTAAAGTTGATCTAGAAATACATGTGACATTAGTGTAATGAAACTAAAAAAAAAATAGAGTAGCAATTCAACTTTTATGAATGAAAATGGTTTCATAATGAGAACACCATTAGCATTTTAATTCCTGCTCCTATTTTCCAGCTCAAATAAGTCATGTGAGAGTTATTTATTAACTTTGCTCTGCTAAATGAAATCATTTTCACAAGGAAAAAGCCAAGAGTTCAGGGTCAGACTATAATGAAGGCTTTGCCTGATGATCAATATGCATGTGTACGAGGTGTGTGTGTAGAATATAGAATATATGCACATACATAAACATAATTTTGAGGTATACTTTCTTATACTTTCTTTTTCTCAAGGCACTCACTATCCTTGCATATTTTAACTGAGTTGCAAGACTGATCCAGGATAATGTCAAAGCAATCCTCCTGAATGTAGAACTACTTTGCTCAACTACAACATCCAGTCCAAATTTTCAGACCACAGTCCTCCACTTAACAGAATAACAGAGTTGGAAGGGACCTTGGAGGTCTTCTAGTCCAATCCTCTGCTCAAGCAGGAAATCCTAGACTTCACTACTTATTCCCTATTTCACCACACCCATCTATGTATCTTAATTTTTTTTGAACCTGACTAACCAGAGTGTTTCACTTCTACTAATTTCCACTGAGAAAAGCTGAATGTTAATAAGGGCACAGTAAACCACTACCTGATATCATATGTGTTGTGAAAAATCTGTAACTTCCAATTTGCTGTCTTGCCTTTTGAATTATTAGCAATTATGGTAGCCCATAAAGAAATTCAATCCATTTGGAGAAGTTAACCCTAAATGACCCATGCCAAACTTATTCATTTAATCACCTCTTAAATCAATAATTGTACAAAATAGCTATGGCTTTTCTATCCTGGGGGACAAAAACCTCACTTTCATCAGCCTCTTCTTTATTATTGAGAAAAGCACAAGCTTGCCTAATCAGCAATTAGACAAACTTGACTTTGTAATGCATAATCACAAACTGGAAGATGATAGCGAGTGCCACAGTATATTTTAACTATATACGTAGAACCAATTCTGAAGTGCCTGTATTTAACACAAGCCACATTTTTCTGACAGTTGCCCGAAGTCACAAGTAAGGGGGAAATCAAATCTCACCAGGCTCAAGGTTGACTCAGCCTTCCATCCTTTCGAGGTAGGTAAAATGAGGACCCGGTTTGTGGGGGCAATAAGCTGACTTTGTATAAAAAAAAACACCACTTAGGGTGGGGCCGAAAGCCCTACTAAGCAGGTATATACAAAAGTATGAAGGCTATTGCTTAATGCATTGTAAGCCGCCCTGAGTCTCTGGAGAAGGGCGGCATATAAATCGAACCAATAAATAAACAAACAAACAAACAAACAAATAAATAAATAAATAAATAAATAAATGTTGCATATTTATTTCAGCAAAGAATCTCAAATAATGAATTTCAATCATCAAGAAATCTGAAAAATATCCAATACTTCAGTTATATATATATATTTATTGCCAGTATTGGATGAGGTGCAATTGAAAGATGAGAGGTATTGTACGTAATATGTAAAGCACCTTTTTTGGCGCTAGCTGAATAAGGCAACACTATATCAAGCTTACAATATTAAAACAGAAAGCAAATTAAAAAATTAGAAAGCTTGAAAAATCCAGCTCTACTAAACTAATCACATTAGAAGTTATGGTAGCATAGCAAGTCATGACATTTTGGGGATTGATTATCCAGCAAACCCAACTGTCAAATATATAACAAAAATTGGGGACATCTGGCCTATTTAAGTAGACAATAATTCTATGGTATCAATCCTACAAAATATCATCAAAAGTAAATTTAAGTTCTAGTTAGTGTAGCAACATTGTTATATACATACATGTGTACCTTTTGAATTGAGCAACATTATGCGAAGTGCAACAAAAAAAAAACCCTGTAAAAGTGAAAGATTTATACGATCTGAAGACAAACCATTGATACTAACCTCATCTCACCAATACTCTATTGGTGAAATACAGAGCACACCAGACAATTTTAAACCTTCCTGCTGCTGGCAGACACTGACACAACATACATACATTATTGCCAGGTTTTGCACAGCAGTGATCAAAATCGATGCCTCAACCCATCTTTAATGAATTTTTGATTTCTTAGCTGAGTTTTATATTGATAGATTTAGTTAACCATATGTTAATTTTTATATTTTTATATTGTATATTTCATGCCTCTTTTTATAAGGTTTTTAAAATATTTCATATGGTTTTGCTTATATATATATATATATATACCATGTGTATGTGTGTGTTGGCTTTTTTTAACTTTGCATATTTTATATTCTTTTTAGCTTTTAAATTTTACCCTTTTTATCCCTTTCTATCCTGGTCTATGACCATAATAATGATTTTTAAAAAAATAATAATAAAATTAATTAATAATAAAGATTTTTACTCAAAGAAGTTAGATCAGAAAAAAGAAAAGGAAATATAGCATTGCAATGCCATAGTTATCATCAAATTGATCCACAGGTATCCAAAATCCATCATGGTTTTGATTAATCAAGGCTTTCTTATAATGCTTTTCAAAAATGTAGAGAAGGTGTAGTCTCAATTGTTAGGACAGCAGTTGTTATTTTTGAAATATTTTGGTATTTTGGCAAGCGGTACCAAAATTCAGATTTACTTTATGAATAGTCACACTGTTCTATGCAAGATCTCTATTCGAGAAACTAATTTCCAAGACAACATACTATTGCTTATACCCTACCAACTAGAAGGTACATGGAATATACCAATGTATTCTGGAGTATTAGGAGCATGCACTGTACTGATACATTCAGCATAATTAATTACAAAAAATGCTAATTCAAAATAAAATTCCCTATTCCGGCTAGTTGTAATATGTACATGGAGGGAAAGAGAATTATTTTGAAAACATTTGTCGTGTTAAATATAATTTATAATAATTTTCCAATAATTTTCTATGTGCATTTAAAAAAAAGTTTTTTAAAAAACTGTAATTTAGTATCATTTTAAAAATGTACTTCTTAGCCTTACCTCCAAAAGTCCATCCTCTGGTAAATCTGTACAATGGACAGCATTCTGGATCTTGTTTTTACCAAAACGAGCACGGAGGGTGCCAGGACGGAGATAACGGGCTATTTCCTGCATAAGATAGAAATTGTAAAATGTGAAGGAAAGGTGAAGAAGATAATTGCATACTTAAAGAAAAACATTTATCATTTATATAACAATATATTTTTGTAGACCATAAGTCTTCAAACTTGGCAGCTTTAAGACTTGTGGACTTCAACTCCCAGAATTCTCCAGCCAGCATGGTTTAGCTGGCTGGAGAATTCTGGGAGTTGAAGTCCACAAGTCTTAAAGCTGCCAAGTTTGAGGATCCCTGTTGTAGATCCCCAAAAAAGGGGATTCCATTTTGGTCTGTCATATAAGCAATTCAGTATCAAATTACCAAAAAAAAAAAAATAGTTTAGTACTAATAAGTGAGAGAGAATTAAAAAATACATTTTTTAACACATTAAAACTCATGACACAGTAGCTGAAAGATATTTCACATACAATGGCTAATTACAGTTTGGTGAAACCTATCTAAAATCTTCAGTATCAGATGACTGGAATTGCTGACACATGCAGGCAGTCCTCAACGTACCACCACAATTGAGTCCAATGTTTATGATGCTAAGTGAGAAATCTGTTAAGTGAGTTTTTGCAGCATTTTACAATTTTTCTTGTTATATTTGTTAAGTGAATCACTGCAGTTGTTGAATTAGTTCCACGGCTGTTAAGTGAATCTGGTTTTCTCATTGACTTTGCTTGGCCGAAGGTTGCAAAAGGAGATCACGTGACCCCGAGACACTGCGACCGTTAAAAATGTGAGCCAGCTGTCAAGCATCTGAATGTAAACCACATGACCATGGGGGTCCTGCAACGGTCATCAGTGTGGGAAATGGGCATGCCAACTGTTGTAAGTCGAGGGCTACCTCTACTGACACTCTTTAGCAAAGTCTACAAGGGACCTCTGTGCTCTCCATTTTGCCAGTCATAACTGGCATTTCTTAAGAAGGATGAAGAAGGAAGTTACTTTTTAGAGGCATTTTAGGCAATGCCTCTCATATGGTAACTAGAAGGAATCATCCAGGGAGTTGCCTACAATATTTTTAAGCATTTGGAGATCATGAATTTTTTGAAAATTATTTTGTAAGTAATTTAACTATTAAAAATTCAATTTAAGTATCCACCCTCTTCCTGGGGAAAAAAATTAATGACATATGTCTGTAGTTCTGCAAGGAAATAAACTGATCAAAATTCTGCTCAGCTTGCCTTGCAGTAGAAAGGAAAAGACCAGTGAGTAAATTTAAATTATTCATCTACCAAACAGTCACCCACATTTCTCCTTAGGTTATTTAGACATGGGGAAAAAAAAATCTGTTTAATTAATGGTACAAAGGACAATGATAAGAATGCCAGAGAGTGAACCTTACAATCTGGTTGCAGCCAAAGCAATTGCCTTTAAAAAAAAAATCACACACAGGAATGTTTCCTTAGTGCAGAATACATAGCAGATGCGTGCAAATGTTTTTTTAAAAATCCTGGCAATGTAATGTCATTAGAATCACACCCACTCTTAAAATAAAGTACATCAGTAAGAGAAGAATATCTAGTCATACAGATGGTGAAAACAACAGATGCAAAACACTATGAAATATAGTAATAGTTTAGTAAAGGATACCAATTTGGTATTTATAATATTTTGGGGATTCAGTTATTGGGAACTGTTTTGGGATTCTGTAGCCATACAGTCTTTTAGTTCTATAAAATGTCCACAAAACAAAATGTAACCAACTTCTTCTCATGTACAGATGTACTTCAAGGAATATGGGTGTTAAGTCTTTTAATTACATATCTGAGAAATTTATTGAACTTATAGCCACTTTCATTGCTAACCTTGGTTAGTGATCATTCAAAAATATGATAGTAATAAACAGTAATAAGAATCATTTTCTGACCAATGCACACATTTATGAGCAAATGTTGACGTAGCTATACAGGTAGCCCTTGATTTACAACCTCAATTGAACCCAACATTTTTGTTGCTAAGTGAAAGATTTGTTAAGTGAGCTTTGCCCCATTTTATGACCTTTCTTGCCACAGTTGTTAGGCGAGTCACTGCATTTGTTACATTAGGAACACAGTTGTTAAATGAATCTGACTTCCCTATTGACTTTGCTTGTTAAAAGATAGCAAAATATGAGTCGGTTACCAAGCATCTGACCATGGGGATGTTATAATGGTTGTAAGTGTGAAAAATGGTCATAGGTCACTTTTTTCAGTAACTTTGAACGGTCACTAAACAAACTGTTGTAAATTAAGGACTACCTTTATGAGATAACTTTATCTGAATGAGATTATAGCAAAAGAGATCTTCACAGCATCCCTATGTTGTATCTTCACTTACTGACCATTTTGCTTAACAACCAGGTTACTGGAATGGAACAAGATAGTAGATGTAAATTTGAAAAATCAGGCTGGTAAGATATTCTTCTTAAGGACTGACTTTACGGATCTCTTCCCTTCCTACTTGAATGAATCATGTTACAAATCTGCATAATGTGTAGGTAATACACATGTAATTTTTTTCTGCAGGAAGCTAATCTTTTGGTGACATTTGAGATAACCTAGAAATGTTCCAGATTTAAAAAAAACATGCCTGAAGAAGAAAGAAAAATAATACATATGTCTTCTCTTTACAAATGGAATGAGAGCAGTTTTGTATCTTAATAAAATCCTCTTTTTCAAGGTATGACCTACTGGATAAGTTAATTACTACTATCATAAATATCAAAGCTTTATGTAGAGAACAACATTCAATCTACAAAGCAATCAAAACCAGTATTTGCCAGACACCATGTGAAAGAGATAACAAATCCCCAAATATATAAAAATAATTCTCCAAAGACAATCTTTCTCAAGGTCTTTTAATTAAGCTTATATAACTAAAGCTTCTGTTAGCTATATTGCCTGGTTTTTATGTCAAATGATGACACTACAATTTTGATAGCAAATCTGGCATATAGATTACAGAAAACGTTGCTTTTGTACATACAATGGTGCTTAAAAGTTTATGAATCTTTTTGGATTTTCAGTATTCTTGCATGACAATGATCTAAAACATGGTTTGTTTTCCCCACAAGTCCTAAAACTAGATAAAGAGAACCCAGTTAAACTTTTAATAGGTCAAAAGTAGTATATTGCTCATTGATTTATTGGGGAAAATAATAGAAAGCTACTGGTGGGCAGTATATATATTTGTGGGCAGCAAAAGTATGTGAATCTTTGCCTTTTATAACTGATTTATCCCTTTGGGGAGCAATAACTGCAACTAAACATTTCTGTAAAAGTTGATCAGTTCTGCACCTTGGCTCAGAGGAATCTTAGTCTTACAGAGCACTTTCAGCTTAGGGATCTTGGTGGGTTTTGTCATATGAACTACCTGCTTCAGGTCCTTCCACAACATTTCTATAGGATTAAGACCAGGACTAATTTGACTATTCCAAAATATTAACTTTCTTCTGCTTTTAACCATTTTTTTGGTCATACAACGTCTATGTCTTGCTACATGACCCACAGCCTCTTTAGCTTCAGTTCATAGACATATACTCTGTCATTTTCCTGGAGAATTGGCTGGTAACATTTCAGAATTCAGAATTCTATCAATGATGGCAAGCTGTCCTGGTCCAGAGGCAGCAAGGGAGACTCCAAATCATGATACTGTTCACTACCATGTTTCAATAATAGGTTAAAGGTGCTGGAATGTAGTGTTTGCCTCTCACCAAACATAAAGCTTTTCAATCAAGCCAAAAAGTTCTATTTTGGTGTCATCTATCCACAAAATATTATCCCAATAGTTTTCAGCTTATAATGCATTTAATTGATATCAGCCTTTCAGGGTAGTCCAGATCCAAAACCAAAATTATGAGTGCTAATACCATATTTTAGCCTGAATGTGTCTCTTCCCTTCCTGCCTTTATATTCCAGAGAATAAGGAAGGTCATTGTCTTACTCAAATTACATTCCTGTTTTGGATTCATATTTCGTCTTGGGTAAAGTTCTTCCTCCTGTCTCTCAAGGTTATTCTCACAGTCTCCAGCATGTCCAACCCAAAGTCCACAGGCCACATGTGGCCTTAACAGCTAATAATGCAGCCCCACAAAATTGTAATAAAAATATTAAAAAATAAAGGAAATTTATTATTTATATACATTAATTATATTATATATTTTATATGCAGTCTGGGACAATTCCTCTTCACTCAATGAAGCCCAGGCCAGCCAAAAGTTTGGACACTGTATTACATCCTTAGGCAGTAATATTGAAAATTCAGAAAGGTTTGCAAATTTTTAAGTACCATTGTAAAAAAATTAAAATATTTTAAACAAATTGATTGATAATTGAAGAAAGCTTTTAATGGTAAAGACAAACTACCATATTCTGTCTTTATCAGAATTAAGACTTTTGTGTGATAATGCAGCTTTAACTGATTTTAAACTGATTTCCAATTTTCTTGCTAACATAATCATATATTTTCACTGCCATTTGTTTATGGACTCCCAAGTGATCAAAATTATATATTACTGTAGGCACAATGAGAAAGTTATTATATACGCAGGGACTTCAGTTTTTTTCCTTTTAGTTAAAATTCAGTTGGTATTTCCATCAACTAAAAGATGTAACACATATTTGGAAGTTCTTAAAATGAAAATATAGTTTTATCCCCTATTTTCATGGTAATATTTACAATGTGGGATAATGCCACTTTAAAAATTGTATATAAGTCCTTTTAATGGACTTCATGGACAAACTGGTGTATCAGTACTTTAGGTTAGGCTGTTTTTAATTTTTTTTTATTAAAGCACCGCAAGAAGAATTTGAATTGCTGAAAACTCCAGAGTGGCATGATAGAAAACTAATTTTTGATCTCACAATTTAATTCAGTTATGTAGCATGTTTAGAATGCTTGAATTATTATCAGCACTGTAATATGATAGATGATTCTAAATTTTTCTGTTTTTATAGTCAGTTAAAATGTATTACTAAAGTGAATATTGTTCACTCACAAAAACAACTTTAATCCCATGTTAATAATTCAAAAATTGAGAGTTTTAAAAATATTGTCTGTTTTTACATTAGGATAAAATTAATTCAAGAAAAATATTTTTTCATATCTACTGGATACCTCAGACAGTGTTTAGAAAAGATTTGTTATCAATATTGTTATGAAAATGCAACACGGCAAAGATGTATGGACTTTTTCTACTGTGCATTTATTTATTTGCTTCAAAGCACGATTTCATTCAGAATTACTAGGCAATATTCATTGTAGTGCCTTCTAATTTTCTCCACATCAAGAAACCCGCGAGGTACTGTAGATAGGGTATTTCCCCTTTTTGGTTTACAATGTACAGTATAAATTTACTAATGTGCTTTAGATAAAAGATGTTAATGTAATGTTGAATTACCTGTCCCCAAATTAGAATTTATTTATTTATGAAGATTGTGGAATTTAACAAATATAAGGCATAGGAAAAGTCTTTTTGTTACAAAGGAAGAATTGCATGACCCCAAAGTTACAATCTTGGACTTAGATGTGCTTAATACCTGTTCATAAGCGGCCTCTAATTAGGCATAATGGAATGACTGACCAGAATTAAAACATGTGGTGAGGTTTATTTTTTAATAAAAAAGCTTTTTATATCTTGTGCTTTTCTTGACTTTTTTGTTTTTGATTCTTTTCTTTGCACTTTTTAAATTTTATTTTGAAGTGTGTATCAAGTGTGAAATGTGTATATTTATATATCTCTATTCCTATTTCTGTGTCTACAAATAGTCGTTGACTTAGGACCACAATTGAAACCAGAATTTCAGTTGTTAGGTGAGCTGTGCCAGATTTTTATTACCTTTTTTGCTGTAGTTGCTAAGCAAACCATTGCACTTGTCAAATGAACCATGTGATTGTTAAACAAATCCACCCTTCTCCAGTGACTTTGCTTGTCAGAAGTCAGCTTGGTAGGTCACAAATCTTAATCACATGAGCTCAGAAATGCTGCAACTGTCATAAATACATACCAATTGCCAAGCACACAAATTTTGATCATATGATCGTAGGTATGCTGCGAGGTTTGTCAATGTGAGGACCAGTTATAAATCACTTTTCAATGTTGTAACTTTGAACAGTCGCTAAACAAGTGGTTGTGAGTCAAAGGCTATGTGTATATTTTACCATAAATGCCAAATGGTTTTAAGCTTAAAAACTGTTGGAAATTGAAATGAAGCATCTTGTCTACTGCCACAAATAAGAGCTTGCTACTGTGACCATAGCAAAACAAGGGGGAAAATGTACCTGACACTTTGTTAATTAAATAAATGCATAAAATTGTCCATATATTAGATTAGTTAGGCAAAAGAATGTTAAATCAATCCTTTATGCTGCTCTTATTTCTACCTTCTAAACTGATACATATTTGCAACAAGGCTGTACTTCTAATCTTCTAAAACCAGTCTTTATAACTCCATCTCTCAATAACAAAAAGCTTACATATGTAGTATAAAAGATCCTTTGTTTTTAATTTACTATCTTAATACAAATAGGAAACACAATTTTGTAAGAAGCAATATTTCTAGGAATTTGTAGAAAAAACTTTTTTGCTTGTTTGCTTTCAGAGGAATATGTAGATGGCAGCAAGAGATAAGAACAAACAAATTTGATTAATAAATAAATCTCATCAAAATATGCCTTCAAGAAAAATAGAAGTCTGTGAAGCAATATATGTGAATCTTATTAATTGGCTCTATATACTTGAGGCAGAAACAATCTTAGAAATACAATATTGCAGCTTTCTTCTATCTGGTTCCTTCTTTATATTTTGGACCATAGCCACCATCAAATTCAGAGAACTAAACTTTCAGATGTTTACCAAGAAATGAAAAGAACTGTAGTTTAATATGCAAGGGAGATAGATGACAGATTGCTGGGGACCTATGACATTGTGCACAAATATAAAATTAGTTTTCATCATTTTAATAAAAGATTTTGTAATCTGTGTGGCCTCAAATAGAGTTCAACAATTAAATTGCCTATCGTTGACAAAACCATATTCCATGCCAAAAATCTAATATTTGTGTTTATATGTTACACTGATCATGATGTCTGACTCTTTAGACAATCTAATCACATCCTTTTTAACAGAGACAGAATGACATACTAATTGCAGCCTCATATTGATCTGATTTTCTATGCTGACCTACAATAGCCTCGTCACTGAATCAAAATACTTTTCTTTTTTGCTTTGCATTAATCTGTCTGTCTATCATTAAATTCTGATTCCTGTAACCTTTAACTGGGAAAACAGCACATCATAGTAGGGCTTTTTGAACCAAGGCACCTTGAATGGACTATCTTACAGACTACCTCAAAAATCCAAGATCTCAGACTCCTGTGGAATTGAAATTTGGCAAATGTTAAAAAACATTTGATGATATAACCAGTATCATAAAGCAATTTATGACATAATTCAAAATGTCATAAAACATTTTCTGTGCTTCATATAGCACATGTTTGACTGTGCTATACATGGACTATTTTCAAGGCAGACACATCTCTGAATGTATCCCAATTTTTCCAGTGAAGGCAGTACATTAGAAGCTCTGTCACTGTTGAAGAAATCTGGTAAGGAAATATCTCTGAAATAATGACCAAGCAGGGAACATGTTTTCTAGTATATTACTAAAACTCTCCTGTTTGCCTGTTTGTAACATTCAATTGGGCAAAATGCTGCTTCAGAGGGAAACAATTTTGAACCAATGTACCTTAAACGAGCTAATTTACAGAGTGTATCCAAAATCTGAGACCCATTACTCCCATGGGATTGAAATTTGGCAAAATTGTGTCCATTTCAATACTGCCACAATCACATAATAATCATTTCCAACACTCCCTGCCAGCTTCTCATAAGAAAAGTAAATGGGGGAGCTTCTGGGAGAAAAATGGCAGATTGAGTGGCTCCCTCAAATTGGAAGTGACTCCATAACTGAAGTGGGGCTCAGCCAGAACCTTGTAGCCTAAATAATTTTCTAGATTTAAGAAGAATCCTGGAAAATAATGCACTCATCCGCTGAACAGCCACTCAAGAAGATTGCAAAGTGGAGATTTTTTGCAATCAGCTAGTGAGTCAAGCAACTCACACTATTTAATACACTAGAGAAGTACAGCATATTATGTTTTAAGATTAAAATCAATGTATTAAGATTAATGTATTTTATATTTATATCTGTATCAAAGAAAGTTGGACGCTACTCTTTTTTATATTTTTCTTTTCTTTCTGTCCCCCTAATTTTTCTTTTTTTCTGATTTATTTTTTCCTTAATTTTTTTCTTTTTGTTTTCTTGTATTTTATCTTCTTTTGAAACTTCATAAAGTCTTATAAAAAGAAAAGTCACTGGGGAAGCCAGCAGAAGTCAGAAATCACTTCTGCTTTTTTGTCCATCTGTAATCATTCTGTTTCTTAATTTAATAAAGTATCTCTGAAATCATGACGCAATGAATTATGGGTTGTCTAGAGTTATCTAAAAAGCTATCTGTGGTTGTAATCACAAAAACCTCTATCTTCATATGTACAAATCTTTGCAACAAAGTTATTAATGTTCTGAAACTTATAGAAATAAGATAGTTAATAAAGAATTCTATTCTATTCTGTTCTGTTCTATTCTATTCTATTCTTAATAGAAAATGATTGTTTGTATTGTCATTAATATAGCTGTACTTTAATAGTTAAGATTCCTAAACAAACTATTTTAACTGGCATAGACCTTTGAAGGCATATAATATGCAAGTTTTAATATTCAAAAGAAATATTAGTTTTCTAATACTTTAGGACTTTAACACTGAGGTTGAAATTATGATATAGTTGCTAGTTAAAGGTCACCTAGGTAGTTCATAGCAGAAATGACATCAGAAACTTTTTTGCCGTAGCTCAGTTAGCTATTTTATGCCAGATATCAGTAATTGATTTAAGGCTGCAATCCTGTAACATACAGCAACAACAAGCACCAATAATGTCAAAAGGATGACACATGTATCAGAATGTCATTGCATGATTATATAATGACCCTATGTCATCTGATGGCAAAATGTGCATTATGAAATATGCATGATGTATATTTGATAGTGGCTCACATGTATTATCATTTGCTTCCCCAGTCCTCTCCCATGCTTATAGTATAAACTTATACATGTCTGTTCAGAGGGAAGTCTTACTGATTTTAAAGGTTTTAAGCCTACATAAATAGGTTAAGGACTGCAATCTAATCTAGAAATAGAAGAGCTCACTTTTGGGGGGGGGGGGAGACATCAGATATTGTAATGGTTGCTGCTTAGGCAATATAACTATGTTATCTTGATAGTTCCTAGCATTTTAATATTTAACATGTAATCACTGATATATTGTGATTCAGCACCTAAATCTTTAATTTAAAATTTTGGAATGCAAGATAAGCTTATTTCAAAAATTGCAAAAGTCGAACAAGAAATAGTTATTGTATTGGAATGAGATTTAAATGCAACAAATAAATAAAGCAAAATTATGAAAATCATCTATGGATTACATACCAGGGATTAGTTTCACATTAAAGGGATCAGTTTCACATGAATGCAATCAGTTTAAACTGTAGTTGCTGATATAAGCATAAACTAGACAATTCTGCATAGCTTAAAATAGTGATAAAAATTCTAAAAATTAGCAGTAGCAGAAATATAAGGATAGCTGATAAACCTCTGGAAAACCAAAGGATTATCATTTTTTTCATCTCAAGTTGTTATCTTCTATACTCCACATGCATATATTTCATTTTAACAATAACAAATAAATCTCTCATGCTCAATTTCATAAATCAGCTTTCTCCAAACTGGCACCAACCACATATATAACAAATTCTATATTTGTTATATATTCTATTCCAGTATTGGTGAACCTTATATATATAACCCAATCACAAATTCTACCATCTCTGTACAAATATTTAATGGTGCTGGGCTGGAGTAGAGAAATAGAAATAGAATAGAAATATAATTCTTTATTGGCCAAGTGTGATTGGACACACAAGGAATTTGTCTTGGTGCATACGCTCTCAGTATACATAAAAGAAAAGATACATTCGTCAAGAATCAGAAGGTACAATACTTAATGATAGTCATAGGGAACAAATAAGCAATCAAATATTATTAATAAACAGTCAATATAAATCGTAAGGATACCAGCAACAAGGTTACCATCATACAGTCATAAATGGGAGGAGATGGGTGAGTCTCTCTTAAGTCTCTCTTCAGAAGGGCATATGACAGCCGTGGCCAGGGGGGCTTTTTGTCAGGTTCGCCTGATACGCCAGTTGTGCCCCTTTCTGGACCAGGACTCCCTACGCACGGTCACTCAAGCACTCGTCACTTCTCGTCTGGACTATTGTAACGCTCTCTACATGGGGCTCCCCTTGGGGTGCACCCGGAGGCTCCAACTGGTGCAGAATGCAGCTGCGCAGGGGATTATGGGAGCAACGGGGCGCTCCCATGTGACTCCTCTCCTGCGCGAGCTGCATTGGCTTCCGGTGGACTTCCGGGTGCGCTTCAAGGTGTTGGTGATCACCTTTAAAGCGCTCCATGGCTTAGGGCCAGGGTACTTACGGGACCGCCTTCTGCCACCAATAGCCTCCCACCGGCCGGTTCGCTCCCACAGAGAGGGCCTCCTCAGGGTGCCGTCGGCCAGACAATGCCGGCTGACGACCCCCAGGAGGAGAGCCTTCTCTGTGGTGGCACCTACCCTATGGAACAATTTACCCCCAGAGATACGAGTGATCTCCGACCTCCGGATTTTTTGTCGGGCCCTAAAAACTTATTTTTTTCAGTTAGCCGGTCTGTCTTGATTTTAGGGTTAGTTTTAAAATTTTAATATTGATTTTAATTGACAAGTTTTAAATTATGGGCCAAATTTATAAATTATTTTAACTTTATTTTTAACTGTGATGTTTGTATAGATGTTTTTATCTTGGCTGTTCACCGCCCTGAGTCCGAAAGGAGAAGAAATTTGAATAATAAATAAATAAATAAAAGTGTTTTGAAAGTGTATATAAATAATAGCAAGCAAAACATAAAATATGCTTTCAGCTTAAAGTCTGTTTCCTATGCCAACAACTATCTCCTTGAAGCTATTAAAAGCTGCAATTCAGAACTTATCAATTAGAATCTCCCCACTGAAACCACTAAATAAAAGAATTCAGCTGTATACACAGCAGTCACTGGATTTTATTCACAAAAGCTGGTTTTTGTACTTAAACCAGAAGTTCTTGCATCCTGTGCATGCCTGATTATTTGTTAAGTTTGCTAAGGAAAAGCCTACAAACAATGTCTCATAATCTTGTTATACAATTCAACATGCTACATCAACAGTATATCAATTTCCAGGAAAACTACCAAGTTTTTTTTTTTTAAAGTTAAAAGTCATAATTGCAAGGCTCTAATTTTGGCTAGAAAAGCAACACTAGGATATTTAATGCTAACAACTTGTTTGAAACAAGAATGTGCAAAATATTTTGCGATGCAGGTGGCTATCTTGTTTTGGATCTGACTCACAATTTCTGTTCTGAATAGAAGTAATTTGGGTAAGAACATTGAAAATCTTGGTTGTGGTGGTGGTGATGGCACCCAAGGGAAGGAAGGCAAGGGAAAAGGCTTGTGAGAACAGGGAGATCTGCTGTCTTTTCATTTGTGGTGAAAGTTCAATACAGAGGGAAGATTAGGGAGATAGACAAAACAATAAGTCATGCCATGCTGGGAGTGGCTGATGAGAAGAGTGAAGAGAAAAGCTGAAACACACTAACCATATTCTATTTGCCTCTTAAAATTCCTAAGCAACACCTCCAAATGTTGTTTCATCCAACATTCTGGATTTCAACCAAGACATTCTGGATATTATTTATTTTGAAGAACAATGATATTCCTCAATTTATGGAAAGCATTTTATCTGGATTCAAAACTTAACATTTAATTTTGTTATACCCCCTAATATGTAATATGCAATTTGGCAAATGTGTTCTTAGCCCTTTAATATATTGGGAAGGAAAGGAAAAAATAAGTACCTTTATTATGCCAGTATATATTTTTCATACAGGAAGAGAAATTTTGACCCAACAAAAGAGGTGAGTGAACTGTTCTGTACAACACTACCACCTAACCAAAAGTGGATCTCCTCTCCAAGCTGCTTTAAAGGTGAAAGTAAAGAGATATATATTTACAGACCTCACTCATTGGTCTTATTTTATTATGATATTAATTGCTCAATAAGTTACTTACAGGATCGGAAGGGCCACAGTAGTCTCTGAACACTTTTTCAGGATCTATCTGCCGAATCTCTAGAGCTATACAAGGTCCTGAGCAGAGTTCTACAACCATTTCCTGTAACCAGAAAAAACACAACAGATATTTACATTGTTCTGAAGGCACATTACTGAAAATGTTATGGCCCTATTACTAAGTTGATTATTTTACAGAAATCCAAGTAATCAAAAAGCAGGGATGCAGAAAAGAAGCAAACAAATCCTCTAGGACTAGGCTTGGGTTTTTATCCTAGATGATTTTGGGATAAATAAATACTAACCACAAGCAAAGTCCCTCCCCAATATCTGAGAAATTTATTTTTATAAACATGTATGGCATGATTGAGTGATCTCTTCTAGTGTGTTTTGCATTTTGAAAAGCCCAACACACTACAAGCAGCATATTTTTTCATATTGCACAGAAAGCAATAACAACTCACTCTGGTATTTTACCAAGACACCCACACAGATAGGGAATATAAAATGACTGATGATATAATGATAGATAATGGACCCATCAGAAGGAATGCACTCAACATCTTGCTGAACAAGAATTGAGAATCTTTTTAGAGTACTAAGTGTGTTTATGATGTTGCCAGGTTAAAACCTACAGGATCTCTAGTTGCAATGCAGGAAAAGTGAACCCAGAGCTTTAGGAAAGCTCAATACAATAAAACATGAAAATGAATAAACATCGGTATCTTAGGATCAGCAAATTAGGATGGACTGGAATTGAATACTTTTAGCCAGAAGTTTACACTGTTTACTATCAGGACATAAAAAACAAGGAATGGTCTTGTTTTCAGAGTTAAGAAGACAATAGCAAGAACACTACTAGGTTACAAAGCAATCAATGACCAGATGTCATCAATTAGACAAATGTACCCAAGTTTATGCTCCAACTATGGATGCAGGAAAGGAGATGGATGGATTTTATAATCAAGTTCTATTTTAAAATGACAGAGCATGCAAAGCATGGTGTGTTGTTTATGACAGGAGGTTTATTGCCAAGGTTGGAAATATTAAGGAGGAAAATATAGTTAGACATTATGGCCTTGAAAACTGAAGTGAAATTAAACTAGCTCATTTCCTATTTTCCTTTAGGAGGATTCTGGAAACTTAAGTTTTTTCTTAGAGTGGTTACACTTTGAAATGACACTATCTATTGAGTTTATTGAAAAGTATTAATTCAGTTTGTTATATTTCATTATTGACTCGTCATTTTTTATTAAATTTACCATTGGTATTTAAACTGAGGATGTTTTAAATGTTATGTGTATTTTGTTAACAGCAAAGAACCATACCGAGGCAAGGCAAAATAAACATAGAACGGGTACATAAATGTATCCACCTATCGTAGAGCAAAATGAGTAAAGTGCCATTTCAGAAAATATTGTGAAGTGTGGCATTCCTGCAAATATTGCAACAAAATTTGCTTTTAAGAATTCTTTCCCAATTGCAAAGACTGTAATGATATATTACTAAACTGAAGAAAGTTCTGGGAGGCAGAAGGAATGCCAAGCAATCCCTCCTCAATGGGGAAAAAGGGGTCACAAAAAGTATTAATTTGCTAGTTTGTGGATTTGATCCATTTTTAAAGTAAGGTAGAAAAATGCAAGAAGGGTTTAAGGTGGCAAGGAATTGGGATTTCTGAAAATTTGTCATAATTTTAAAAATTAAGAAATTTTGATGTTTCTCTCAAAGACAACATAACGTTACTAATGGGCCTGGAAAACCACTATCCAAAAGTGCACACAATTTATGTATGTCACATTGTTGATTCAAAACTAAAAATTATGTGTACAGTTTATCTCTGCAATAAATTGTTAATGGTTTATTTTATAGCAAATATTAAAATAATGCATAACTATGAGTAGTAATCCTGACCATTACTATACAAAAAAGGATGGTCCATTAAGGTAACATCTAACCTGCATTAAAAAGGAGGGGAAACAGATTTCATACTGTTTACTTACAGAATATTCAGCAACTACACCTTTGTAGATTGCATAGAATTCCTCTGAATTTGCTCGGTCCATATAGAACTGCATATAAAATAGAAAGAAAGTCTAATACTTGAGTTTCTGTGCAGCAGAAATATGGAACTAGTATTGTCTTATAAATACTTAAAAACTACCTAACAATTATAAGCTGTCCTTTTTCTGTTCAAGAACAACCCTGAAAGGAATTGTGTGGTTTCTCAATCACGCAAAGGCTATTTCTTGTTTGGCAAATAAACTGATAAACAAACATGCATGTGCACACTACTCATCAAATCACATGGTAAAAAGTCCAGCACACACAAAATTTATTTCAAACTAATAATAAATTTAAGAATCACAAAAGTCTGGGTTGACAATTTGCAAGAAGCCTTGACATAGATTCAGTGGGAGGTCCTGGAGGCGGCACCTTTTGCTGGTGACAGCATGTAGAGTCCTTTCCCAGCCTTATAGTTGTCAACCCAGTCCATAGTAGACCAGGTGCAAATCCAGAGCCTCTATGCATAAAGAAGCACCTTCCTCCAGAAAAAACTTAATTTCATTCTATCCTCTGAAAAAAAGGTTTTTGTCAAGTTTCAGGCTGCACAAGGCTCATGATTGTTGTTAACTTTCTATATAATTCAAATATATATACTAATTAAAATTTAAGTGCCATAAGTTCACAATACATTGAGAGAAGGAAAGAATGGGGCAGGGGGAAAAAGAGGAGGCTGTCTAAATGCTTTTTGTAGAATGCTTTTGTTTCCTTTTACTTTATTAAAAATTATTTTAATGTCAAATCAATTTTAAATTCTTGTAAAATATTATTGCAGTTATCACTGACTAGTGAGTTTTAATTGTAATATCTAAGCATGTATTTGTAGAGTCAGCCTGATGTAATGTTTAAAGAGTTAGGCTAGAACCTGGGATGCACTGCCACACTTGAACGCACAGTCTAGAAACCATTTTTTATTCCAAATCAGGCATGCTGCTGCCCTCAATGGATCCAGAAAATCAGTTTAAGAATGTCTGAAAGTCATCGGCAACCATCAAATCTATTTTCTCTGAGAAAGAGGGGTAAACTATTCGCTAATTCCAATTATCATTTTATTAATCAAGATTAGATTTCTTCAGAACCAATCTGATCATTGCCTCTTTAAAAAGCTAACTATAATTGATTAGGGTTGGCAATGGGTCCTTTTGCTTGTTCTCTTCTAGAGAAGTAGCCAGATGCTTCTCAATATACCTTATTTATATCAAAATTATATTGATTTGTGTTCAACAAATTCAACAGGAATAATTATGACCCTTAAAAGTTGCCTCCGTAGTCAGTGCTGGTGAAAGAGTATAATGATCTACCACAGGAGTGTGAAACTCAAGTCATCATCACATGACGTTCCAGCTTGGGCGAGGAGTTTGACAGCCCTGATCTACCAGAGGGAAGGTAAATCAGCATTTGTAAACTGAAGTCCAAACAAACTGTAACAAGTGAGCAAGCAGTTCTGATTTTGAAATGCTTTAGCAGCAGTAACAACAAAAATGCTTTATTCTGCCTAAATTATCTCCTGCAATGAACAAACATGGGTTTTGCATGTGAAAAAAACCTGTGAACTCAGTTTAGTTCTGCTACTTTCCTGATACAGAATATGTTCAGAGACAACCTGATCCAGTTTTAAGTCATTTTCATCTTTCTTTGGCTGACAATCTGGGAATTCTAAGAAAAAAACAAAATAAATCCAGCAAATTTGGAGTCTGTCCATTTTTTGTTTAGCTGAAATGAAATTTCCTTTGTTTAGCATGATAACGTTTTGAAAGCCTGATACAAGACACCACTAACAACAAAGCTGAAGGAAGCGGCTAACTTCTGACTGCAGCTGCTTCAGCTGAGAAAGAATCACTGAAAGTCGAGGCAGACATGTTTGTTCCCAGGTGCAATGGATTAAGGTGTGGCTCTATAGTAGAAACAGAAGGTGGTAAATGTGGAATTTTCTCTCAACCTCCTACTTCCACAAGAGCTGAATAAAAAGAAAATAAGCAAATTAGTTACCATCTGCAAGGCTGAGATATCAAATCCTCCATCAAGAATTGCTTTTATAATCTTTCCAGCTACACCTGCATTAAAACAAAAAATGGAGAGGAAGAATGGTCAACTACATAAGAGTAGTTTTTTTAAAATATTAAATGCTTGAGAGTTAGCTGTTCTTATCATATATATTTTTTTAAAAAATTCCAGAATATATTTTGACTAATATGTATGCATTTGACACCTGTACAGAGATAAGTATGACCTAGTTAAACTCTATGATAGTTTCCCAGCCAGTCTCACAATCTCTCACTCCCTCTAGCATCCAGCAGCAACCATTTACCTGCCTGCTGCTAAGGGAGGGAAGGATACCAGATTCCCACAAGAAAACTCAATGGGGAAGGAAGTTAAAAGTCAATCCAGTTCCCACTGCTTTTTTGTTTGCTCTTGATTACCCTGTTTCTCCAGAAAATAATATATTTTTATTGGATTTACAAAAGAGGTTTGTTAAAGTCTCAAAGAAGCCTATGCAATGGGACAAGAAGAACTGGACAGAGATAAAATCTTTATATTTGAATGAACTAAAGATTAAGATTTTAAGAGATAAAAGGAATATAAAGTTGGTTTATTTGATCAAGGTTAAAATAAGACATATTTTTATGTAATTCTGCCAACATTTTTAGTGACACCACGTTTGAAAAATTGATGTCTTATGGATTTGTTATATAAAGATATAAAGATATATAAAGATATGGGATAGGCTGTGGTAAAAAGAGATATGTTTGTAGCCTTATGGGGTGAAGACTACTGCATGTATTTATATTTGTGATGATGATTGAAAATCTTTTCCTTATACATTTCTTTTATTTCTTTTATTCCTTTTCCCCCCGTTTTTATTCTATCCTAAGGAGGAAGATGTTCTAGAGGATGGTATTAAAACAAAAAAAGCTCTCCTCCTGGGTCCTGCAAGATGTCAATTCTTAATAAATATAGCCCATAAAAAGATTCTAGTGCCAGACCAGATAGGGTACAGCATCTTAAATTGAAATCAGAAGAAAATTGGCAACCACTGCAGCTCTGAGGGCGTAGGTTATGTGCTGGTTGTGGAGTGCCTATAACTGCCTCCATCACAGTATTTTGCATTAGTTGCTCTTCAAAAGCAATGTACAGTACATTACAATAATTCATTGGGGAGGTACCCAGGGTATGAGTGATTTATGGAACTGGGGCAAATTCACCAACAGAAATTGTGCAAACACCCACCAAGTTACAATTGTTATCTGCTCTTTGAACAGGAGCTATGAGCCCCAAAAGACACCCACGTGAGAACAGAGTCTGTTTCAGGTAGTGCTACCCCATCCAGCATCAAAAATAGTAGATTTCCAGAACCTGAAGGCCCAAAGAGCCAGAGCTACTCAATCTTGGCAAGACTGAGCTGAAACCTGCTGACCCCCATCCAGACCCCCACAACTTCCAGACACTGAGATATATGATATCTATAATGAACTGTGAGAATAACCATGAGGAGGGAGAGGAACAGCCATTGCCAAGGCAATGGTCAAATAAAAGAAATCTCAATAGACAGCTGGAATGGAAATTGAGAAAGTGTCTCAGACTGGACCTCTCCAACTTCTCTTTAGGATAAAGGCAGCGAGGGGAGAGGCACATTCAAAGTTGCAAGATATGGCTAATGTTCTATTATTACTCTACAATAAGTAGTTTACTATTCATGACTTTGATGTTCAAATTGTATCTACCTCAAAGGTTTGATAACATCATCAGCATCTCAAGGAAGGGGATCAAAACAACAAAATAATTGAAAAAAGATATTCTAGAACAGTGATGCCTAACCTTTTTGCTGTCGCGTGCCAAAAGTGGGAGTTGCACAGGGGGGGGGGGTCGCATGCGTGCATGCCCACACCCATAATTCAATGCCCCCCGCGCCCCTCCCCACTTTTGGCACGTGACGGCAAAAAGGTTACCGGCGGGCCCAGTAGGCCTGTTTTTCGCCCTCCCCAGGCTCCAGAGGCTTTCTTGGAGCCTAGGGAGGGCAAAAAGGGCCTTTCCCACACCCCCAACTGCCCGTTTCCTGACTTCTGGTGGCCCAGAAGGCCCAAAAATCAGCTGGCCGGTGCGCGCATGCACGCTGGAGCTGAGCTAGGGCAACACTTGCATGCCCACAGATATGGCTCCATGTGCCACCTGTGGTACGCGTGCCATAGGTTCACCATCACGGTTCTAGAACATCCTCAGAAACTGCACTATATCAAATCAGGGAATCACGGAAGAGTCATTTTAAATGTGAAACTATTAATCTCTTAATCAAAACCAAAACAAAAATATGTAACAAATTACATCAAGCTCAGTGTTCCTGACTACATTCAGAGTACTCATGTAACACATTTCTAAAAAGGGATCTGGAGGTGAGTCTAAATTATACTTTAAGTCAGTTAACTTAACATCTGTTCTAAATAAATTTGTACAATTGGTAATAAAATAAAAAGTAACTAGGTACATACTGTTTTTCCATGAAGATAAGATCTGGTCTCATATTAATTTTTGTTCCAAAAGACGCATTAGGGCTTATTTTCAGGCAATGTCTTATTTTCAGGGAAATATGGTACTAAATGTGTCCATATAGCTGATGATCTTAACTGGGGCTTCTTTTGGAGTAGGGCTTATATTATGAGCATCCTGAAAAAATCATGCTAGGGCTTATTTTCTGGTAGGGTCTTATTTTCAGGGAAACATGGTAGATACAAGCCTGGCTGAAGAAAAATCAACACTGACTTCATAAAGGTAAATCCTGCTTCACCAAGCTTAACAAAGTTCTTTCAGAGTGTCAGTAGGCACATGGATGAGGGCTTCTCATCAAAAACTGTTTAGTGCACTTAGCAGTCAAGGATAAGAGAATTGCTAATTGTTTAAACAGAAACAAATGACTAGAATTCAAAGGGCAAGTTTCTTTTTAGAGGAAAATAACAAGTAAAAGATCTATGTTGAGATTAGTAATTTTTAAATGAATCATAAATAATCTTGATGTAAGCAGTGAGCTGGCCTAGTATATGGGTGATATAAAACACATAACTCTAATTAAGGCCCGGTTAGTTCTGGGCTGCAAGGCCACCCTGGAAACAGCGAAGGACCAGCCCATGGTGCTTCTGCCAGCGAAAACGGGCTCCCGAGCTGTTTCCGGCTGCTATGGCCTCCTGCAACCCTCTGCCAGTGTGGCCCTCCCGAGCTCCATTTTCACTGGCGGAGGGTTGCAGGAGGCCATGGCAACCGAAAATGGAGCTCAGAGCGATGACAGAGCGCTCGGGCCGTCACAGGCGCCTCCGACAGGAGTGATGCCATGCCCACCCTGGCCACGCCCACCCCAGCCCCCCAGGTCAAACACAACTCTGATGCGGCCCTCAATGAAATTTGTTTCATTGAGTTTGACATCCCTAAGTTAAATGAATGGGCAATTTATTTTTTTCCCCTTGCAAACTAGAGAGACTAATCAAACAAATTATTTTTTTTTCCTGAGTGGCTTTTCTCCACCACGCAGCACCTCCCTAATAAGTGCTAACAAAAACAAGCTAAGAAGCTGCAGTCCATGACTTTAAGCAAATTAATTATCTTGGGCACAGCTTGTGCTGCTGCTAGCAACCAACAAAATCCCTGCCTTGACATTAACAAGTTAATAGCCGACAGCTTTTGCCTCCAGAGCGGCTCATGGCTTGCTGTCATGAGCACTTTAGGTAAACAGCTGGAGGGAAGAGCATTCCTGTCAATCTGAATTCCCAACTGGGTGCTTGTGTACACTTTTGCATTCTTTTCTTTTTCACAATATGTAAACACAAACATCAATTTCCTTCCACTTAATTATCTCAGTGCTGGGATAAAGATTTTTAGAGGTGGGGGATTGGGGCAAAGAGATATAAGACCTGCCCACAAAGTCAGCACTGTGACCATATTTGGGACATTTAATTGATCAACTCTCAAAAGATCATTGCTATCATGACGTCTCCTTTGGGGTTCTTCTTTTCTGATATCCATCCTGCAAATTCTAAATTAAGCATTGATGCATAACAGGTGCTCCCGGTAGACAGGTTCAATAATATCAGCTCAGTGTATGGTAGTATTAAAAGACAAATGCCACCCTAAGTAGAATTAGAAAAGTGGTTGAAAATAACACTGCCAGCACTGTAATACCTCTTGGATGTTTGAGGTTCTTTAGCTCAAAAAAAAAAACAGAAATAGAAGGAATATGAACACAGGATATAAAATGTATGCATTGCATGGAGGAAGTGGCTTGGGATAAATTTTACTCTGTCTTAAAACCCTAGGACCAGAGCAGGGGCGGGTTTCAAAACCTGTCACTAACGGTTTGCTCGTGGGTGCTTCTGCACATGCATCCAGGCAGGTGGGCGGAGCCTCCCACCGCCACTGCTACCGGTTCGCCTGATGTGGGACGAACTGGTAGCAACCCACCACTGGACCAGAGACCATCCAATGCAGTGCACTAGAAGGTTTAAAGCAGATCAAAGAGGAAATCTTGTCTTTCTTATCAATACTATATTATGCAGGTAATCCTCGACTTATGACCACAACTGGGCTCAAACTTTCTGTTCCTAAGTGAGATAGTTTTGCCCCATTTTACCATCTTTCTTGCCACAGTTGTTAAGTGAATCACTGCAGTTGTTAAATTGATAACACAATTGTTAAGTGAATCTGGCTTCCCCATTGACTTTGCTTGTCAGAAGATCTCAAAAAGTGATCACATGACCTCAGGACACTGCAACTGTCATAAATTTGAGCCAGTTGCTAAGAATCTGAATTTTAGTAATGTAAGCATGATGATGCTGCAACAGTTGTAAGCATGAATAATGGAGATAAGTCACTTTTTTCAATGCTATTGGAACTTCAAATGGCCACTAAATGAAATCCAGCATGGTCACATGATGTCTCTCTTAATGACAGTGACACTCAGCAACAGAGTTAGAGGTCCCAATTATGGTCAGTAAGAGGACTACCTGTACCATAGTTTTGAAACTGGCAGAAAGAAAGAATGAGTTTAAATCATTACGTTAAATCTTTTGAAAAAGAATAGTAGAAAATAGTAGTTTTCTATAATCTGAATGTCCTTCAGATATACTTTCTTCTTCAATTTCCCTAGAATATTCCAGCCAGCAGATCATTAATAATAATTCTAAAGTTCATACCTTTAAAATGTGTCCAGGCTGAGAAATGTTATTAATATTAAGCTAAAGAGGGTTAAATATTTTCTGATAATGCAATGAGCTAATTTTATTTGCAAAAATCAAATTAATTCCAAAAGGATTTTAAAAAGGATTTTAAATGATCAAACATATTTTACAAACCCCTTTAACAGCTATTTCTCATTTCAAAGCCTCCACTATTCTTATATGTTGTCTATAGTTATCTTTTGTACTAAAAGATTATATGGGAAGAAGGAACTATCATAATATATTCTAAACATTATCACTTTATTCTGTGAGGTCCTACTAGAAGCCACAAAACATGAAGGTCAAAGTGGTTTTGCACAGCATTCTCTTGCCAATATCTCTGCAGAACCTGTTAACCCAAATAATTATTTATGTGGTTTATGTACTTTAATTGCATGCAGAGAACATCTCCATCTGATTCTGCAAGCAGGTCAGCTGGAAATCATCTCAGCCTAACTGCTAAACAATCTGCTGGTAGAAAAGACTTTCGTCAAAGAAGGAAAAAAAATGATGAGCAGCAAACAGGTCTTTTACCTCTACAACTGTACATATTAACATTAACAAAAAGGAACAGCATTGCTTGTTAGAATCATTCTGGAGGTAGCTACCATTCTGGAAATGATTTATATGGCTACTAACGAGACAAAAAGAGGACCAAAAGGTATTTGTATTGACTCTGCAAGGTACATAACTAACCTTCTTTAATTGCATGAGGTTTAATAACACAGCAAGTACAATGTGTGTACGCGGCAGTGCCAGTAGGTCCACGGCCTCCATTGGAAGGAAAGAATAATTCCAATTCCTGGAAATAATAGGAATTAAATACATAAATTTAATAGGGTCTCAAAGCACTGAGATAACAATAGTCAGATTCATTGGTTTTCATGCCATTCATTTCCATTCCTTATTTTTAACGTATTTTTGAAAGTGCCTCATCTGACTGTTCTATCATTCAGCATAGACAATAGACTTCCAAACACAAAAACCCAAAACAATACCAATTTTCAAAAATTCTCAAGTACAGGTAGTACTTGACTTATAACCATTCATTTAGTGACCTTTCAGAGTTACAAAGGCACTGAAAAAAGTGACCTACAAACTTTTTTCACACTTACGACCATTGCAGAGTCCCTGTCTCATGTGATCAAAATTCAAACACTTGGCAACTGCCCTGTATTTATCAAGGCTGCAGTGTTCCATTGTCATGTGATCTCTTTTTGTGACCTTCTGACAAGCAAAGACAACGGGGATGCCAGATTCACTGAACGTAACAACCGCAGTGATTCACTTAACAGTGGTGGCAAGAAGGGTTGTAAAATGAGGCAAACTTAACAATTATCTGGTTGAATTGGAAATGTTGGGCTATTTGAGGTCATAAGTCGTGAACTACCTGTATGCCAAGAAAAAGATACAATAAAACTTTCACAGAAAAAAAAAATGGAGAAATATAAGGCAAATTTCAGTACTGCATTTACCAAGAAGAAGAGGGAGAAAACCATGAAAACCGTCCTATGTCACCACAACACATTAATCGTTAACCATCAGATGAGTTCATTATTTTATCATATTACCACTCAATCGTTCACAATAAACATAAACAATAAATATATAACATTTGATTTCTTAGCTGTTCATATCTTGGAAACAAGGAACTTTCTAACCTGAATGCCACAGGACTGCTGACTTTGTTAAAAGAGTTTTAGGCTATCAGAGTGAATCAGGTGGGCCAGAAGAAACAAAAGAACAGCAAGTTATAACAGGTGACTTAATAGCCTGAAAAGATGAAAAAGCCACAAACCCAAGACAATAAAAACATAACAATCCAAATCCCAAAGCAAGCTGAATATTTTAATGAGAGAATATGTTCTTTCAACCAGAAGAAAGGAGACAGAAAACCATCAGAGCTAATGATTTAATGAAAAAGAAAAAAATACAGGCAGAATCAGGTGATTCAACAACATAAATGAAAAGAGAAAGAGATGGGGGGAAAGGAGCAAAAAAAAACCAATCAAATTACAAAAATAAGTTTGAAACCACAGTCCTACTTCCTATTTATCTGTTATAACACAGATACTCTTTTGTTTGTTTTCCGGTCTGCCCACTCCTAGAAAACAGAGGGCCTTTTTACAGGGCTAGCTGCTCACTGGGGAGGGAAAGGTCATCATCAACAGCAGAGGTTCTCTTCACGATGAGGTGAGATCCTTCTCCTGGGTTGTTGTTGTTTTAAATAAAAAATGCAGACTGGATTGGGCGCTAGAACCTCTCTCCTACAGCTACAGAAAATTTTAGGACCATGATTTTAAAAATCCAATCAGCAGAAATCATCTATCTGAAATTCATGGAACTACATGAGCTGCTCAATTGGACAGTATGTACATATTCTGAATCTATTCTTTCAGACCTGCAATTTTAATACCTATTCAGAGATATTAATCTCCAGTTCTTTATCCCACAGTTGATCTTCACAAACAAATAGCCAAGTAATTGCTCTTCTACTTTACCAGCACAGCTTCTGCAAGATATGTGTACTTTTCTCCATTAATGGCCTGTTTTCTCATGGACAGGACACTGAGGTAAAATCTCAGGCTAGCAAGGGCACCTGTGAATTGGATCACCTGTTATTTCTCCCAGATACCTCGACTCAGTCCTGGCAGATGTTTTCACTTATCTCCCAGAGTAAGAACAATGCCTGTTGTCTTCTACAGTACAATGATCCTGAGTTGCTAAGTAATCTCAGTATAAATATTTCTCTTTCTCCAAGCAACACAAAACAAGGAGAAAGCTAGAGAAGATAAGAAAATTGGGGGAAGGAGGAAATCAGTAGCAGGAAAGACATTTCAAATGCCAAGGACTAGTCCTTCTTTTTTTGCCATCCTAATTTATAATCTCTTAAATTTAAAAAAATTCAATGGCATGAACATGTGGTATACCGCTTTATAGTGGTATAACATTCAACAATGTATAAATTAATGGATTCTTTAACTATTCACAACCCATAATCCCACTGTTAAATACATAATACCACATTAAAACACTTTTAAGGATACACAGCAGGGACAAATAAGGGAGTAATTAAAACACTGCCAGCAGCACTATTCTTAGCTCCTCTAATCAACATCAAGAAACATGCTTCCATGGAAAGAAAAGCAGGCATCAGAAAGTAAAACACAAATATATTGTCCAATCTGTTTTCTTATAGCTTGGAAAGACTCTAATGAAGTTTTGCCTTCAGATGAGCCTCCAGTTAATCTGTTTAAGATTATTTAATCCACCATAATGAATAGTTAGGAAACTATAAAAAAATTCTATGTGCCTATGCATTATCATTTATAGTTTCAATTCTAACAAGATGAAAATTAAAATGAAGTATACAGTATATATCTTATTTTATTCTGTAAGATTGACTATTTCATTTAGAGTATTATCATGCAATTACTCCTTTACCAGCTCAGGGCAATATTTGACTGAAATCATACTACCATTATTCAAAGTGATGACAATATAGGGGAGGCTTTACAGTGAAACAAATGAGATGAAGTGGTATAAACATAATTAGTTACACAGTACAATGGTTTTCCTGGACAAACTCTTCCTGAATCAGAAGAGTCTTACTTACCTGAAGCAGAGGACTGGACAAGAGAATACTCTGATTTGTTGAAGCAATCTGCCTAACAAATCACTAAATATTTTTCTAAAAGCAAACATTTTGCCCCAATGTTAAGAGATTTATGTTAGCTATAAAATATGCCTTAGGATCTGCTACTGTCTTAGCAGGACTGCCTCATTTGATCAAAGCTAAGCTATGGAATTTGGAGGCTAGTTAATAAAGAACTACTGGTCAAAAGTAGTAACTTAAGCAGAGTTTAGAAAGAAAGAAGAAGGAGTGTTCAGTCTACATATTTACGCGCATCAGTGAAAAAATGTAATTGAGAGGTATGAAAACATAATTCTTATAATATGCTAACAGAAACCAAGTCATGTGCAGAATGGGCTATCAAATGTATATTTGAGAAACTTACACTAGCAGCAGAGGCAAAGGAATCAGGTCCATGAGCCACATTTCTTATGCTGTCACTTCCAAAACGTCCTCTAATGGTGTTTGGAGCATCAGTTCGTGCAACAACTGAATTTGCAGGCCCTAATAATTGTTTCCATCTACCTATGGCATCATCTCCCAAAATCTCCATGGCAACAACAGGGCCACTTGTAATAAACTCAAGAAGCTCACTAAAAGCAAAAAATAGAATAGTCAGGATACCTGGGAAACCAAATGCTTCAAGAGGATTCTTCTGTCCTAAACAGAATAATAACAACAAAGTTGGATACATAGCACAAATCTTAAGCTACTACAGTAAAACAGTAACTTGCAAAAAAATCTGATTGGAAATAATTTCACAATATTACCCTGTTTCCCCGAAAATAAGACATTCCCTGATAATAAGCCCAATTGAGCTTTTGAGCGCATGTGCTAAAATAAGCCTTCCCCTGAAAATAAACCCTCCCCAAAAATATTTAAACGCAGAACTGAAAATCAGATAACATGGCAAGAGGAGCCCCATCTTGCTCCACACGCCCCAAAATAATAAAACATCCCCGAAAATAAGGCCAATAAGGCCAGGGTCTTATTTTCGGCGAAACACAGTATTTTCAAAACAATACTTTGTTCGTTCTCTTATCTTTTGCAATATCTGAAACTATTTTAAGAAAAGCAAAACTGAAAAAAGAGAATAGATTTGATGACTACTGAAGAACTCTGATTTTATGTTTAACTGCAGATTAAGCAGTTAACAAAATTTCTAAACTTTTGGCTCCTTAGGAAGTGACAGTTTAAGAGGCCAAATGAAGCTTGCCAAGTCTATCAAGCCAGGCATCTCTCTTGGTAGAACTCCATCTATTATTTATGTACATATATGGGCAATCCTGTTCAATCACAAACATGCATGTCAAAGAAACAAAGTACTAGTCTCAGTGTGTATATAAAGCATTACAAAAGAAATTTAGCACATCAATACTGCTCCCAGAAACAGTATGCGCCTAATTAAGTGGATAATCAGTAATAAGTATAGATAGCTGAATTTCCTAACGTTACTTTTAAATAGGTAGTCCTCAACTTACAACCACAATTGAGCCCAGAATTGAAGTCATAAATTATTGCAGTCATTAAGTGAGGTGCTCACGTGACCACCTCACTCAATGACCACAATTCCATCACTCCCAGTTGCAGTTGTTACGTGGTCACCTGGATTGTTAGCTGGAGTTAAGGTAAGGATCATTCTCCCTCCCATCCATGCTGTTTTGGCTCTGCATAGTGGTACTGCCAGTGGTGATCCCAATTGCCCCTGCTCCCCAACTGACCTTCACGATATCAAGCCATTGATATGATTCACTTTCCCTCTGCATCCAAGCTTCCCCTACCTTTTCAAGCAGGCATCCCTTTCCTTCCACAAGCTGGCATCTCATTAGAAACTTTCTGGTCCCCTCCAAATCTCATGAAAACAGGTCATTTGGTTCGAAGAACATCAGGAGTCTTGTTCTTCGGTTGCTTCGAGGACCTCATTTCCCCATATCGCATGTGCACCATTTCTTTTGCACATTGCAAGGGCTTTCACATAAAAAGAGATATTGGTTTGAAGGTCAGCTGGGCTGCAGGGACAATTGTAACTGCTGCTGCTGAATATGGCTGTGCAAGCAGCCAAAAGGGGGGGGAGAGGGGATATGCAAGGGGAGTTGCAGCATCCCCAAGGTTGTAAGGGCATGTGAGCTGCAAAGCACTTATATTTTTATCTTGTGACCATGGCCACAACTTCAGGCAGGGGTCGTAACTACTTTCATTTGGTGACATTGTAATTTCAGCTGGTTGCTGAACATATGGTTTTAAGTTGAGGACACCTATAATAAAGTGTAATGCAGGGGTGTCAAACTCGTCATGGCGGCATCACATCACATATCAGGACTTTTTTCCCCTTTGCTAAACCGGGCCGGGGCAGAGCCAGCACATGATGCCTCCAGCCTGCAGACAGCAAGTTTGACACCCCTGGTGTAATGTGCACATCTGACTCCCATACTGTACCCAATAGACTTTAAACTAAAGAGCATGCTACTGTGTCCTGGAACACAGAGACAGGCAGCTTGTGAACTTGCCTACACCTGGTCTCCTGGAAAGGAGGAACTGTTTAACTTTATATTTTGCAGTAATAAGAACAAGAACACCTTTTTTTAATGCACCACAATATCATTTTTTGGCATCAACCATCAATTGCTATAAACAAATTATTGTTTTTCAATTTCCAGTCTGGCTATGCTAACTAACAATAGATTTCTAATGATTTACTGGATATTTCATAGACTGAAACACTGAATCTTCTGTCATACTCCACAGTACTATACTATACTACTGTACTATGGTACTATACTACAGTATGGTACTATAAAGTCAATTTGCTTAATGGTAAAGAAAATGAAAAGGATTGAGACCATTCTGAAACAAAAACAAAGTATGCAATACCAGATAAAATGTAGAATGAAACATATGTATTAAGATAAGACCATGTATACTCTTGTAAGAAAGTTCCAAAGATGAGAAAGTGATGAAAGAGTATTTTAATGTTGTTAGAATGTGTTTAGTTTATTAGAATATAAGTATCAGAGCGGGTCGCAGGACCTAGCTGATACTTAAAAAATGTAAACAAGGCCCGACATGATTAGCACTTGAGTAGACGACCACAGGAATTTTTTAATGCTAAAATCAAAAATACATTTTAGAAAGTAGCAATAGAAAATGATTTATTGTTATCAAGAAAATCACATGGATACGTCAATGAAACCACCAGGAGTTGAGTTTGACTTGACTACAAACCTGACAGACTTGAAAGTCAAGATTAACATCCAATTCTGTACAAGGAAAAGAGTATAAAATTAAGAGAAGTCTAGTTTTCTATGCTTATCAAATACTATCTACATTACGTTTGTGTAAATAACTCAAAGGACATCAACAGAAAGCAACATGGTAAGAGTTTTTATTTTATAGAATGTAACATACAAATGAAACCACTCTGTATACCAAAATATATACTCACTTGTAGTACGGCTTAGATTGATGGTCTGCATGTAAATCCATTGCTTCTCCCCTATAAAAGATATTTTAAGAATACTTTTAATATTCTTAATTAATTAATCCATTCTTAATGGATTCTCAATATTTTAATTAATGCATATATAGCAGGGGTGAAATGTTCCCTGTTCGGACCGGATCACCCGATCCGGTAGCGATGGAGGTGGGTGGTTCAGAGAACCAGTAGCAAAAATCCCTCCCCCACCCCACTGCCCAGCTGAGCCGCACAATCATCAGAGGCTTTTTTTTTACTTTTAAAAGCATTTTTTCTACCGCTTTGGCCAAAAAAATGCTTTTAAAAGTAAAAAAAAAGCCTCTGATGATCGCGGCTCAGCTGGGATCCTCAAAGGCTTTTAAAAGGAAAAAACCCTTTTTTTCTTTTAAATGCCTCTGACGATCCAAGCTGAGTTGCCTGATCGTCAGAGGCATTTAAAAGAAAAAAAGTCTCTGCCGATCAGGCAACTCATCTGGGATCGTCAGAGCCTTTTGAAAGCATTCTTTTTACAACCGAAGAGGTCGTAGAAAAAAATTGTTTTAAAAGTAAAAAAAAAAAAATTGGCCACATCCACCCAGTCACATTACCACCACCACCACCAAGTCACACCCACAGAACCGGTAGTAACAAATTTTAGATTTCACCACTGATATATAGTAATATTTCTAGCATTTTCTTAATAACAGATTGGAAACAAACTCTACAAGCAAAATACCCTTTGTCTTTTTCTTTCTTTCATTCATTCATTCATTCATTCATTCATGTGAGATCACATTATATCACATACTGGTAGTATTTATCTTTATTTCTTCCATTCTTGGGCTACTGCATGGTTCAAGATGGAAATGCTAAATAGGATGGTTTTACAGTCATACTTTAATAAAATATCATGAGACATAGATTAGCAACAGCTATGCATTTTAGTGTAATTTTACAAAAAGCTAAAGATTATACTTCATGAATCAGTAAAGATTTAAAACATAAACTGTATTTCTATTTTTTGAAAAATAATGATTAAAATCTCACCTTGTAAGTTTCATCATTTTAGCCTTTGTTATCGTAAAACCAGAATGAATAATCATATCAATAATCTCTCCAAGTCTGAGTGCTACATCTGGTTTTAATAATGCCAAGGTTCTATTAACAGATTTAAATGAGAAATTTTTAAAAATTAGCTTATGCATCAACGTTACCAAGACAGGAAAACACAATCATATCAATTATCATTATGTGATCATTCCTAGTGCCCAGATAGATAATGGAAATATTTGGCCCAAATATTTCAGTGATGGAGAAATTCAGAAATGGAGGTAGTGACAGATTTTATTTTCCTGGGCTCCAAGATCACCGCAGATGGGGACTGCAGCCAAGAAATTAAAAGACGCTTGCTCCTGGGGAGGAAAGGTATGGCAAATCTAAACAGCATACTAAAAAGCAGAGACATCACTCTTCCAACAAAAGTATGAATAGTCAAGGCTATGGTTTTCCCAGTTGCAATGTATGGCTGTGAAAGTTGGACCATAAGAAAGGCTGAGCGCCAAAGAATTGAGGCCTTTGAACTATGGTGCTGGAGAAGACTCCTGTGAGTCCCTTGGACTGCAAGGCAATCAAACCAGTCAGTTCTACAGGAGATCAGCCCTGACTGCTCTTTAGAAGGCCAGATCCTGAAGATGAAACTCAAATACTTTGGCCATCTAATGAGAAGGAAGGACTCACTGAAGAAGAGCCTAATGCTGGGAAAGATTGAGGGCAAAAGAAGAAGGGGACAACAGAGAATGAGGTGGCTGGATGGAGTCACTGAAGCAGTAGGCCTGAGCTTAAATGGAGTCCAGTGGATGGTAGAGGACAGGAAGGCCTGGAGGCATATTGTCCTTGGGGTTGCAATGGGTCGGACACGACTTCGCAACTAACAACAAAATTTCAGTAATACAAATGAGTTTTGAAACAAGAAGTTGCACAGGAACAAATAACGAGGGTATTTATTTAGACATTGCTGTCCTTTTGTCCTCTTCAGATTCTAGTTAGGGAAGAAAGGGACCTTATGTTAGGCAAATAAAGGACCCATTTATTTGTTAAGCAGCTATATATTAGAAAGGACATGAAGAAATATGGCCCTAATATATGACCCAAAGTAGGACAGGTAGAGCAGCAAATTATACTTTTGCAATATTGTTTTTAATATTCTCATACTGCAAAATGGAAATATATTCTTATGGTGAGAGATGATGGTTTTTCAAAAGCCTAAATGAAATCCAGAAGATTTTTTTTTATCCTGTCACCCCCATTATCCCATGAACATGTTCCTTTGATAACTGCAAAATAACTGGAACTCTTGGACTATATAGAACAGTTAAGGAAGAAAATTATGCCTTGACTGTTTTTTCTTTGTCAGAACTCAAAAAGGCAAACAATTAAGTTGAAATTTTATTTATGGTAGTATTATGGTACTGTGGGGAGGGGGGGTTATGCCAGAGATTGGTGTGAAAGAGAAAAAGAAGAGGAAGCAATGTCCCTAACCAATTGTGTAATCACTATGGGAAACTAACAGTACCTTTTTTTGTGTGCTTTTCTAAATTTTCCCTGAGCAAATCAAGTAGCACAAGCACCATGGTCAGCTCCAAGCCAGATAAACACAGTCATCTCAAAAAAAAAAAAAAAAAAACCACCCAGTGCAGGCTTAGTTTTAACAAATTTCCTGAGGATTAAGCTGGATGTTTAGTGACAATACAAGTTTCTAAAGATCTGTTTAGGTCAAAAGACACTCACAGTTGACCTGACAACCAATCCCCTTCTACCTCTCCTATCATAAATTAGCTAAACCACTGAACAAGAATTACCATGTGGTTAAATGAGGAAGGAGGAGTTTGCTGGAGGCTTTTGTTCTTTTGTTTTTCCCTGGGAACAGTAGCTGACAGTGAGGAATGAAGGAAAGAAAGGAAATCTAAGCAACCACTCAAATTATGGGATAAAATCATCCAATATGCAAAAAAGACTCTAGTGTGTACAAACTTTTAGATCTAGAAACTATACAATTTTATTTTTTATATCTCAAAATAAATGCCGAATTAATTTTTAGTTTTTTTTCTCAGAGGCTAAGCTGCCATTTTAGATGAGCCTATCCGTTGTTCCTCTGTTGCCTCTCTTCCTTTTTTAAAAATCCTCACACATATTTTCTTATCTAATTAAAGAATCCTCTCTCTTTCTAGCTATACAGGTAGTCCTCGACTTATGACAATTCTTTTTAGTGACCATTCGAAGTTACAATGGCACTGGAAAAAGTTATTTATGATCATTTTTCACATGTACGACCACTGCAACATCCCCACACCATGTAATCAAAATTCAGATGCTTGGCAACTGACTCGTGTTTATGACAGTTGCAGTGTTCTGGGGTCATGTGATTATTTTTTTGCAACCTTCTGACAAGCAAAGTCAATGGGGAAGCCAGATTCACTTAGCAACCATATTACTAATTTAACAGCTCCATTGATTCACTTAGTAACTGTGGCAAGAAAGCTTGTAAAGTGGGGCAAAACACACTTAACAACATAAATATTAGACCTAATTGTGGTCATAGGTTGAGGATTACCTGTACTTTAAAAATCTCTAAATGCTAGTTGACACATACTTTTAGTACTGATTTGTATTTTAGGGAATAATCTGGCATATTAATTTGATGTCAGTAACTCCATATTGATCAATAATGGTGCCAGTAAATATCTTGATCAGTAATAATTCTAATGAAGCCAGTGAATCACATATGTACACTATGTCTCTTCTATTTCAACAATTTATGATGTCAAACAATTTTTTTGAAAACGAAGATATTTGCTATTACTTATGTTGTATTGCCAAATGTGAAAATGAACAAATTACATCAAGAAAACTTAGTTTTCTTCCTTTCTAAAAATATTTTCAACAGTGCTGAAAAAACTAATTTTCCATTTGCAGTTCTTTTTAAGTACCGTTTCTGAAAGAAAGAATTTGTGATTATTACTATAAGTTAGTAAAAAATACCAACACAAAAGAAAACACAGGTTTTCTTTTTAAAAAATTAAACGTATTCATGATTAATACATTGGAGCATATATAAAAATAATATACAAATATATTTTATACATACACACACATTTTAATTACATTATCTAGGAACTTGGGAATGAGTACTAAAAATAAAAATGACTGTCATGCATCAGTAAATTTAAATCAGATGAAAAATAATCTTCTGTATTATTGTAATACAGCTATCTTTTTGGGGGGGGGTAATTTTTCTGTTACAACAATTTTCCAGCTCATTTGCCATTTTATCATAGGATCTTAATTCTTTATGTTTCAAGGTGTTATTTGGATTATCAGAAAACTTAGAACAGCCAATTTAGGTTCTATGACAATGGTCTAATATTAATACTTTTGAACATTTTAATTGCAAGCCTCTGACAGTAACTAAAATATATAGCCACACAAAGTTAAAGCAGTAGAAAAGTATATGAAAAACAAGACATGACTATAACAAAGAGCTTGCTTCTGTTTTTTTATGTTCACATACTTGGTTCCAGTTTTTCTGAGGACCAATTTAATGTAATACCCTTCTCCATTTTTCATTTCATCCATCAGAAAATCCAATGCCTCTAATTCTTGTATATAATAAGATGACTCACTAAGCAAAGTATATTGATTAACTTACAAAATTAAAAATTCCTCAGTTCAGAAATATCACTTTCTCACCTTTCTTTGGAACTGCCCAACATGCGAGACGTATATTGATCTGCATAGTCCACCAAATTGAGGTGGCGTGAAAAAATAGTAATTCTGTTGCCCACAAAAAGATCTTTAAAATTCAGATCTTCATATTTAGTGCGATTCAAGAATTTGCAGCGATTCTTCATGTCATACTGAAGAGTAAAAAGATAGCTGTTTTAATGTTCTTATTTTGTTAAATTAAAATATATAACATTTCAATAAAATCCAGTCAAATGTTGGCTTTGAATTCCTACTTGATGCATAAAGGAAAAAAATCCAGAAAAGGTCATAAATAGAAGGTAGAATAGAACATCCCCTTTTGTCTTTTTCATTTTCTGTTTTACTGGCAAAAATGTGAAATTTTTCTGATTTTTGTTTATAATCACACATAAATTCATTTTTTAACAAATCATGTTTCCTATTTACCAGCCTAATTTGTCGGTTTTCATGTAGTTTGTCACATTTTAAGCCTGAACCTTTGGGATTCTGAGCCTCTGATGACCTTGGAAAAATTAAATGTGTTCATGAGATGAATTAAATGTTATATTATAATTACATTATAACAACTGAAAAGGAGCCAGTGTGATGAAGTGATTAAAATATTGGACAGATGCCAAAGACCCCCAAGTTTTAGTCTACTGTCTGTTATGGAAACTTGCAGAGTGATTTTGGGGTTGAGATTTTAAGCACTATATAAAGGTTGAGATAAAAATTTAACAAAAAACAAATTGGCAAATCCAGTTCCATTTGTATTGAACAATTCTACAACCACCCACTCAGCACAGGATGCACTGAATACATCCAACATATGATCACCCAGGCTGTTTGAAGGACTCGACACTTTGTGTGGCAATTTATTCTTCCTGCCCTCAAAATTCAACCAACTCCCTGGTAGGTTTAACCCACTGGTTTGACTCTATGGGGCAACTGACAAAAGTCAGTTTCCTTCTTCTATGTGAAAACTATTTGAATATTGCTATCATGTCACCTCTCGATCATTCTTCTTAACCAATGTTTTTTCTTACCTTCTGCTTGCGTATCCTAAGATGCAGTTCGCTTCTTTCCCTGCTAATGATGATTAGCTGGGGCTCTATTTTATTTCTAAGACAAGACAGGTGCAAAATAGGACTTAAAAATTCTGCCTTCTCACTGTCACCCATTATCAATTCGCCAATATCTTCTTGCAGTGGCCCTTTACTCTGTTTGCTTTGCCTTTATTTTCTTACACTGCACACATTATGCAGTTTATAATGACGTTTCTCTCCTGTGGGCTCACATTCTGGAAATTCTTATAAGCCACTATGCCATAGAATGCTTCAATATTATTTGTCATTTCTTTTGATAATTATTGCAAACATTTCAATCCATTTTCAATTGCTACACCTCTGAAAATCTGTGATATTAAACAAACATGTATATATAATTCACCTGTTCATCCTGGATTATTTATGCATCTGTTTACACAAAAACACAGGTGCATAATAAGTCAGTAAACAGAATTATTCTAATGTGTAAATACAGCTTGTTGATTTCTTCCTTTCCCTTTTTCTTGCAATCTCTTCGGCGTATAACCAAATGAAGCCCATTGTATTAGAATTAAAGAGCCTTAGGCACAAGCTTCCCCTTCCGATAGAAAAGTCTTAAATTAAAATAACGAACTTAATTTCATAAATCGGTGGCATCTTTCTTTCAGACCCATGAAGTCTGAAAAGAATCTGGCAATTTTATTAATAGCAAAGAAAGGTTTGATAGAAGAGAATATTTGTAGCTCAGGGTTGGACTGTAGGGGTCCTTGGTGCTCTCTGAGTTTGATGGTTTTCTTGCAAATGTTTCACTAGAATGACATTTCATTCATCAAAGAAGAGATTGCACAAAACCAAATATCAGACATACTGCCAACAACAACAACAAAAGCACAAATTCATACATGATACTAATGTAGTTTGTTGGGGTTTAGATTATTAGATTGTGTGTGTTCAGACACTATGGTTGTAAACTCTGGTTTATAGATTAGAGCAATTAAATTTGTGAATCGTCAGCCTTTGAATTAGCTGTACAGTAATAAAGAAAGATCAGTCAAGATGATTCCATGTGATCTAGATTACATGTTTAAAAAGTGTAATATATTCGGCATGAAAAAATAGTATTTTGTAATGCAGAAAAGTAGATAAATATTATTAATCTATTCTTACTCATTCCCTTTTCCCCGTTATTCTATTTTATTTCTTGTATTAATTTTACTTCCTACCTTGTATTATTTAGGTAAATATATCTGAATTTTTAAAATGTTATTTGCAGGTTCTGTTTTATTTTCTTCAAGAAAATAACTATTTTTTAAAAAAAGTTTATTGCTAAATATATTTTGAGAACTTAGCCAATTATGGTTTATTCAATAATCCCTGCTTATGTAAATGATAGATTGTGATAGTAAACCAACACTGTCCATCCCACTTACCTTATGCATATCTTTAGGCTAATAAGAACTATGCAGATCACATGTATGTACACAAATAAACATACAAAACACACCAATTCAATAATCCAAGTTCTGATCAGTAGCAAACTCATTAATATTTAACATAGGGAGAAAAAGAGCCAAAAATTGGATAAGCAGATTTTACATACTAATCCTGTGTAACAGGTAAGATTTAACTTATGAAAGGAAATATGTCGTGGGATTTCATCTCCATGATCACAGAAAAGGCCTCTGGAAAAGTCAGAAATAGAAGAAACAAACCTAATGACTAAATGGATTATCTCAAGTTATCTTGAGCAAGACCTGCCCTTAATTTGTTGGGAAGCTTCATATTTTTCCCAATTAATATTCCACTGAGTGGAGTACAAACTCACACTCAGTTTTTCTCAGTAACATTTTTTCTTTGTATGAAAATATATTGAAATTATATGTAGGTTTTTGGAAAAGGGAAATAATGCCATATTCTTCTTCTACATTGTGCAGTTCTTAGGCAAGGAAAGCAATTATTCGGTTTCTGGTGTGAGTAATATGAAATCCATATTATTAAAATTAGTTTATTGTTGCTTTCAAGCAAACAATTTATAAAATACTTTTATAGAAAATAATCTTACCATTTCCACTGATCCATCTGTAGGATAATACAGAAGCTCATAGCGCCGAAAAAGTGAAGCATTTGGATCATACCATTCTGCAACAAAAGCAAATCTTTCCTCTTGGTTCTAGAAAACAAAAGTCAAAGGTATGGATTTTGTAACAATTCGAGAATAGACAATCTGTTCAGTATATCTTCCCCTAGCACCTGATATAACAATACTGCTTAGTTATTTGCGGTAAAAGACATCAAGATTTGTCAACCTGGCACAAAAGTTGAAATTTAAAATAAGGAGAATTACTTTTTTAAGTGTTTCTCCAAACGTATGGATCATTTCACTATCTTCATTGACAACTATTACTATTCATGTACAACAGTACATACTAATCCTATTTGGACATCATAGTATAAAATCAAGGCAGCTGCCCATAAAATACATGTTTTATTAATTGTATACTGTATACAATTATCTTTTCAAACTTTTCTGAGAGTTCTAGAAAACTGTAGTAAGCATTTCCACAGATTTTCAAACAAACAAACCGTACATATGCATATGCAGAGAGAGAGAGAGAGAGAGAGAGAGAGAGAGAGAGAGAGAGAGAGATGGTGGGGAGAGAATCCCATATATATATTAGAGAACTTCATACTCTCAGCTTCTCCAGACAATTTAAAATTCAGGGATTAATCAAATATTGTGCATTTAAAAGTTCCGTATTCAAAAGCAGCTGATGACATACAAAGAGACAATTGTCAGCCAGTCATTTTCTAAAGCTCAAAAGAACACACAGTATGTATTATTTGTGGCTCACTGAAGACACAGCAGTTGCTAAGAGAGCTTTTCTGTCCAAGAAGCAGCTTGTATACTTTTGCCACTGCTATAAAAAGGCAATAAGTCATTACCAACAGAGATTGAATGAAAGATTTTACATCTATTTACCACTAAAGACAGAAATGAATGGATTCAGAGAGAATGTATAACTGAGGAAGAGTGTGGGGGTTGGGAATCCTAGGGAAGTTGAATATCTTCCTCTTTTATCAATTTCGGTATATTTCTAGATGTAGAGCTATTTGCATTCTGCAAAATATTTTTTTCAAGAACATGAGAACCAAGCTAAAACTGTACTGTATATATTTTGTCAATTCCAACATATGCCTTCCTCCAGAATAAAACATAGGCGACGCAGGGATGAGCATGAGAGATAAACCCTTTCCTCAAACCATTTAAATACATAACCAAAAGTAAGGAAGATAACAATCAGCCTAGAGGAGCAGCTCCTAACCTTTTGGGCACCAGAGACTGATTCTGTGGAGAGGGGTTTTCCGCAGACTGGAGACGGCATGTTTTGTGTGCTGCCTGCACCCCAAGAATGGGGCTTCGCTTGTTTGTGCCGCCTGGTTTCTGGTATGCTGCAGTCCAATGCTGGTGCACGGACTGAGGCTTGGGGACCACTGGCCCAAGCATATTCTCCCAGTACTAAGAAAAACAGCAAATACACCAAACAAAGCTCTAAACAAGGAACTTCAAAGAAGATCTATCCCAACCGAGAATGCCTCAGTAATGAAAGATCTGCAGGACAATAACACAGCTCAGAAACATGTCTTCCTCTTTCCATGTTAACAAACAATATTAGATATTCCCCCACAGTCACCTTGTAGGGGAGATGGACAGCATAAAAATGTAATTAATAAATAAAAAAAAAACTAGGAAAGGAAAACCTCTTTCAAATGCCTAGAGAAGATGGAATTAAGGATGTAGTCCTGTATTTTGCAGATGGCAGTGAAGCTGGTTTAAAAAGTGTAAGGTAAAGGTCAAGGTTCCCCTTGCACATATGTGCTAGTTGTTCCCGAGTCTAGGGGGCGGTGCTCATCTCCATTTCAAAGCCAAAGAGCCAGCGCTGTCCGAAGATGTTTCTGTGGTCATGTGGCCAGCATGACTAAACGCCAAAGGCACACGGAATGCCCTTACCTTCCCACCAAAGGTGGTCCCTATTTTTCTATTTGCATTTTTTACGTGCTTTCGAACTGCTAGGTTGGCAGAAGCTGGGACAAGTAACAGGAGCTCACCCCATTATGCGGAACCGCTGAACTGCCGACCTTTCGATCAACAAGCTCAGCTTAGCCACTGAGCCACCGTGTGTCCCCCCCCTTTTTTTTAAGTGAGGGACATTCAAAAGTAAGATTGCAATCTACTTGCTCTATGTAATGATAGCAATAAAATTAATTTCAAATAAGATAAAGAATATGATGCTAAAATGGTACACAGAAGCATCTTTTCAAGTTGTTGGAAAAAACAACAACATGAAAATCCATGAGGGGAAGGAGAACACTGCCTTCTCAGCACTACCATATTCTACGTGAAGAGCAAAGCAACCTATGACAAAGACCAAGGCACACTTTAAAACTTTTAAGGTAAAGGCAAGGTATAAATTGAAATTGTTGTTATTATCACAGCTATTATGGTTACTGTTGATATTATTATTGCTGCTGTTATTATTTATTGCCATTATTACTCAGATATCAATGTAGATATCTTCCATAATGATGCTAGGCTCTATCTCTCGTCTGATAATTTACAGTAAAATAATAAGTTAGCTTGCTGCAAAGCAAGGTATCAAACTCCAACATCTTTACAAGATTTTCAAAGAAAAATAACCAGCAGCAGCAGACCACTGATCTCTTTGATAGCCTGAATACCTTTCCAGAAAAAAAGGCTATGGTAAGTGGATGTGAACGTCCTATAGAGGAGGGCAAAGCGAGCAACAAAAGCACAAGTACCATTCTGGTCCAGAATTTATAACTTGTCGTGACCCTCACTGGCTGCCAATTCATAAATGGAGAAGCTAACACTGACAATATTACAAATGTGCCCTCTAAGATTAGAAACTTCCGTTTCTATAATTCAGTTAGTAAAGAAAAAAGAGATTGCGAAGAGAATAAAATAAGCTCGTTTAAAAGTATGGTTCCAATTCATATGAAGGCTTATGAATAGAATCCATCTATTCTTTCTCCCTACAAACAACCATTTAACCAGCATCATCTATCAACTAATTGCCTACAGGCTGTTCTGTTAAATGATGATGGTGGTATATGATGGTTATCTTCCTTTGATAAATGCCGGGAAATTTTTACTGCTGGTAGACAAATAGAGTTTAAGTTGCACAAGCCTAAAAAGAACTAAACGTACAGAACCTACTATACATTATGGACTACTCCTTGTCATACTTTCTGTTCAATTTTTAACCTGCAAAGTTAACTACAGGTTCACCAAATGAGGTGACAAGTTTTTTCCCAGTTACTGCACTAAACTTCTAGAATATTCTATCAAGGGACATCAGTCAAGTTTAATTTTCCTACTTTTTTAAAATGTCGACTGGTGTTATTTCCTGCCGTTATGCCTTTTTTAAAAAGCCCATTGTTATATTGTTGATATTTTGTCTGTTTCCATTGCCATTTACGTACAGTAGCTTTGAACTGTGAACAATAAGATAAATATTTTTAAATCAGGTAGTTGTAAAATACACACATAAATACAATTAGAACAATATAACTTTTACCTTTTCCTTCTCAGACGCCTCAAAATCGCTCATTCCTTGCCATTCAGTCAATTATTTAGACACAATCATAAAATTATGTGCCAAATGAGAATTTGTAAAAAATAGAACTAATTAGATTTTTTTTAAAAAAAAATACCATGATGTTTCAATAGCAGACATGAAATTCTATGCATAACAACAGTCCCATGTTATTAAATGGGAATCACTCAGTTATGTTTAAAACTGCATCCCTAAATTGTATCTTTAAATATTAAATGTGTGGTGATTATCAAAATAATATTATTTAGATTAAGTTGTACACAATGAGTTAGTTATAAAGTCCTAGAACACAATATTTAATATACTAATTAAAAAAAAAACATTTATAGAACACAAACACTATGTAAACAATATTTACATTGACAGTGCTTAATCTTAATTAATTCTAATTATTAAAGAGTAACTTTCTTGGAATATATAAATATCTTTAGGAGATCTAAAGTTCTTAATAGGCAGAATTGGAGGGGGGGGGGAGAGACTTGTGGAGCTAAGCAGAGTTTCTTGCAATGTATTACCATTGCCAGAGAAAAGCTTTCCTTCTGGTTGAATATTTCTTACATTTAGAATGACAATAATATTTTAACTCTTATTCTTTCGGTATATTTCAATTCACGATTAAAAGGATGTAATACAGGATAAATCAATCAACCACATTCCAATAAGAAAAAATATTTTCAATCATTTAATTTGAATTTGTGATTCAAAGGCAGGAGTGGGGAGGGAGGGAGGGGAGGGAGAGAGAGATTTTTAAATTGGGGAACAATTAAAAAAAACCTGGTATGTTATCACAATTGTGTAAAAGAAAATTCTATGAAAAATAATTTGTAATATAGGCTTCATAGTTGAATAGCAAGCGCACTATATCAAAGAAAAATGTTGAAGACTTTGCAAAGTCAGGAAGTCTATCAACTATAATTCCGTCTGAAGCAATCTGAAGAAACTTGATTCAATTTGAAAGCATGAACTTCCTTGAAATCAAATCATTCATTTGTAAGGGCCTAATGTACTTAACAATACATTACTTCATTTACCTCCATTTTTTCACAATAAAATTGCATTCAAAGCAATTTACTATCAGAATATTTTTTTTAAATTCCCATATCAAGGCAACTATGCCACAAAGCCTGATAAACTGAATACATATCCTTGAACTCCAATTAAAAACAAACTGGAAGCTGTTACGTTAAAGGCTCTGTGCTACACTCACTTTAATTAATTACAAATAGTTCTTTATTTAAACCAGTGTTTCTCAACCTTGGCCGCTGGATGATGTGCGGACTTCAACTCTCAGAATTCAATGGAAGTTGAAGTCCACACATCGTCCAGCGGCCAAGGTTGAGAAACACTGACTTAAACTATTCACTTAGTGACCAGTCAAATTTACAAAGGAACTGAAAAAATTGAATTACAACCAGTCCTTGCACTTATGACTGTTGCAGCATCTCCACAGTCACTTCATCAAAATTTGGGCACTTGGCAATTAGTATGTATTTCCTATGGTTGCAGTGTTCCATTGTCACATGATCACCATTTG